TCCGATTCCATTCAACTTGATTCTAATGTTGACGACCAATACAGGAAGTTGATCACAAGCGACAAAGTGTACAACAATCGGGTGGCTTTCCAAACACCGACTAGAGGTTGCAAGCACACGGTAGAATTCCACGATGACGACCAGATTCTGCTGGACTACATTTCGGTACACTCGTTGACCCCACTTAGTACGCTAGTAATAGGGGGCAGGAAGACAAGAAAAGTTGCAGCATCCATCAATTGGGGTAATTTTGATTGCCAACAATCAGTTAGCTTCACAGTACATTCCGATGCAATCCAATGCATCGATTAAGCAACCCGCTACAGCTTGCCGTTGCTACCTGCTGATCGCTAATTGTTCCTTTTGCCATTTGCCATTTTCATATTCTCAAACCTCAGGATGCTGAATGCATTTCAGTAGTTTTGACTGAATCCGTAAGAAATACTAACGTCTGCATGTCTTTTATCCAGGTTTAAATAACTGTTGTGGAACTTTTACACAAATTCCAAGTAAAGCTCAAAATACTTGTTCATTCGGTATGTCCCGACGTTCATTGCCTGAACGAAATTCAGGGTGTTTTACTAGATAGTATCGTAGTAAATAAGTGGTGGGCAAAATACTTAGAGTACCACTGTATATTACCGAGTTAACTTTGCCTTGGGGCAAATTGTATTCTCTGGTGAACTCCAGAAAGACCGCCAACCGCATCACTATTACAATGCTTCAGTTTTCAGTGTCAGTATTGGCCGCATCGCCATATGGAATCAATTTTTTGCTAATACTCGCCTGAAACGGAATACTGCAGTTACGATCATACACATAGCGTCGCAATAGGAGAAGAGTTGGATATGAAAAATAAACCATTTTTGCTTCGTATTTCCCATTAACTTTTTGGGTCGGATCCGACTAAGAAGGTAAGATGTCGCACCGTCCAATATCTGGGGCGAAAGAAACGTGGCATGGCCTTGAACAGACATTATCGGGACAGACTTCAAACTACATCCAGATGACGTCACAATGAGAACACAACGTGGGCTTTAGACCAGTATCCGGTATAAATATTATTGGTTACCATGGCTAGCGGCATCCGGTTCCGGATTTGCCCGTCAATGCGGCCTCCACAGGGAGAGCCACAGGACGCCTGCGCCTATAGAGCGATCATGCGTGGCTTCTGCTGCACCACGCACAACTCCATCCACACCCATCATATCCGGTGTAAATCCGAAGGAATAAGACTGGGAGGCATGTGGACGGGAGCCACGTTTCATCAAAGGAGCCGCCGCACAACCTTCACAGGCAAACACAAGCACGCTGTATTTGGGAAACAAGCGCATACAAGGCGGCGACTGGAACCTAGTCCGCTCCACATGCAAATCGATTGGGTGGAACCACTCTTCGAGCCTGACACAGTCACGAGGACCGTGCACCCGGTCCCATCCAGCAAAGATCAACTGTCTCCTGAAGCTAGTATAGAAGAGGTGGTGTGTTATAGACAGGTAGGCAAACTGTCTACAACCACAGCAAACCCAACCACACCGGGTGATGTCAAGCAACTGTCAAGCACTTGAGGTGACGATACCAAATAAAATAAGTCTGGTAAGGCATTCGGATATGCCAACTTAACTCTTCGATGAATTAGCATACGTAATAAATTGGCTACCAACAAATCCGCGCTAATTTCAATGTGTCATAAAACATATTTTTAACATAACCCCAAAACGCGAATAGATTAGCGAAGTAAACCACAATTAGCTTAAGCGACGTGTGCAAGTTAAGAAAAAATGATTCAGGTAGACGTTAAACTAAGGTAAAAGGAAGCATTAAACAAGATAGCAAACCCAACACTTGAAATACAACAACTCAGCACGCAAGCTCGCAATTATTAAATCGAATGCAGCGTGCTTACCAACGCTGCGCCGGTTCTGCTTACGTTCTCAGCAGCACCCGTCCTCTTTTCAATGCTGGTCCTGAGTGGTCTCGCTCGCGGTTCACTAACCCCGCCTGACTCAGGCATTCGCGACCGCATGGGGTACAGCACCACGCGCTCGCTATAGATGGAGTACAGATGGAGTATAGATGGAGTACAGCCCATCGGCGCCTGTCGCTTCTGCACCTGCCGCTTCTTCTCTGCATACACGAGGCCATTCTCTTGCACTTCGACAAATACCTTCGTGATCAGATCGAGCCGTGCACGCCGATCAACCGCCTTCCATTCCATACATCTGAGATTAACATTGGAACATGATAGGCTCACCTTGATCACGTCCTCAAGCTGCTCCGCCACACCCAGCTGACCGTATAATGGCTGCTTGGGGATGCGCGTCGAATCCATGCGGCAAACATGACCTAGGCACCTCAAGGGTCTCAGCAATAGTATACAGTCTACTGCATGCATTCTACTTCGGCGCAATACTTCTTTGTCTTCAGCTCTTCACACCAACCGCTGCGCAGAATCCGTCGCAGACACTGCTTATGGAACCGCTCGAGATATCTCACGTTTCGCCGGTACATCGTCTGCGCTTCGCTGCCGTATAGAAGAACGGACAGCCGCATGGATTTGTAGACCATCAGCTTCGTGACGAATGTAAGCTGTTGGTTGTTTCACACTCGGTACTCTACCTTCCCGAATGCCGCCGCTGCCTTCGATACGCGGATACGAAGCTCACTGTGTAGCTGTTGGTCACTCCGAACCACTACAATATGGTAGCAGAAGCGAGAGATGCATTCCAGTAATTCACACCAATGCTGATATGCGGCAACTTTGCAGAGTGCACTTCTGGTGAGGGCTGAAATAGGCAGACAGTTTTGCTTGTGTTGATGGTGAGCCCGAATTTGTCCGCTGTCGAAGCCAGAGCACAAGTTATGTGCTGCAACTCATCCGCGCTTTGTGCATACAACGCACAATCGTCAGCGAGCAACAACATACGGATAGTTGTCTCATATATCATGGTTCTCGCACTGCAACGACGGATGTTCAGCAGCCCACCGTCAATATGATGCTCTGTTCGTGCACTGTAAGCACAATTCGCATCTACAGCAAACATCATTATGACATGAACATAAATATTAAACAGTGTAGGAACTAAGACACATCCTTGCTTCACACCAGAGAGAACTGCAATTCATCCATTGTGTCCACACAACTGTACGTCCACTGCAAACACTCTGCGGTTATTCAGTTTATCTTACACACCTTCCTAACACTAGCCACATTGCCTCGTTTTTCACCCCGTGGAATGTTTTGGTGAAATACTCTTGGAGCGCGTACAACCGCTTGTGCAGTTCTCTGCACCTTTCCTTTAACTGAGGAGCCGCAAACACCATATAGATGTTGCTGCGACTAGACCAGAATCTACGTTGCTGTTCTTTTTCGTTCGGTTCCACATACTGACTGACGTAGCGCTTGAGCATGGTTCGGGTATTCTCCTTGCTCCCTAAACTCAGCAGGTTGATTCCACGTTAATTCGTGGCACATAGTTTGCTTTCTTTACCTTTGTGCAATGGTAGCACAAGGGCAAACATCCTTCTACCCAACAGGCACCTCCTCCACAATCCACCCTCGTTGCAGCAACTGGTACTGCGCAGTCACCAGCACAGGCCCGCCGTGTTTTAATGCTTTAGGCGGGATCTCGTTGGTACAAGCGCACTTGCCGTTTGGCAGCTGAGCAAGTGCTCACTGCGTCTCATCCACTGTCTGCGGGTCCGAGAAACTCGCCTTCTCCTCGTGCTGCTTCAGAGCGCTTAATTTAGGCCAGTCAAGCTCTGAAATTTTGTTCCGGAGACAGTCAAAGTGATTGCGCCGTATCTGCATTATGTCTGCAGTCTGGGTGCAGTCAAAGTCTGAAGTGGAATCGTGTAGCGTCCACAGCAGCAACAACCTCGTTCCATACACCACCTTCACGGTTGAGCGCGGTTGGCAACATCCGGTTCCCGATTAGCCTGTTGCTGTTACCCAGACAGCTACAGCCACAGGACGCCTGTGCCTACGGAGAAACTATGGGTGCCTCGCGCTACGCCACCCACAGTTCCAACCACACATCCCATATCCAGTGTAAACCCGAAGGAATAAAACAGGGAGGCATGTGGATGGGAGCCATGTTTTATCATCGGAGCCGGCCCACACTCCTTCAACATGCAGAGCAGCAGCAACATTCTTGTCTATCTATGTGGGGAATCATGCGTACCAGACGTACACAAAGCGGTGCATAAGCCGTAGTGTCTCCACCGTGGGTGCATGGAAGCACTGTTTGAGCCTAATACGGCTACGCGGAGCGTGTGCCCCCCAGCAACGTTTCAGTCTCCTAGAGCCAGTAATTGCGCTGGAGGGTGTTAGACATTTAGGCACCTTGTCAACATTCACATCAAGCGCAGCCACACCGGGGATATCAAATAATGTACATAAAAATTAAGGGAAAGCAAACACGCAAAATTGACACAGAATATGCAGCAGGGCAACAGTATGCAACAAGCCAAATAAAGAGGTATGGCTTTTATGCATATTGAAATTGCTTAGATTAAGTGTAAGTTGGCTTAGCCAAACTGCGGTGAAGAAGCATCATGCATGCAATGTCAACCTCAGCATGAGGCACGATGTTGTGCTTTGCCGCCAAAATACGTACAAATAAGTTAGCCGACCACCGCAGCACCCCGGGGGAAGACACATTCCCTGCTTCCGATGAAGTCGGAATACAAATAAAGTCGAAACTGGTGACAAAGTGCAAGAGAAAGATACGGCTGCGTTAAACGCACAACCCATTGGTCGTTTGTTCAACAGAGTTGGGCAGACGCTATGGTAAGTGCCGCTAAAGTAAAGTGATCTAAAAATATATCCCGAAATTGACCGTAGTAAATGACCAACGAATCAATTATAATGTCGAAATATGTTGTCCTTCTTAGTAGTTTGTTTTTTACGCTACCCAATCCGTGCTCCCTAGTAGTTTTTTGGAGTTACCACAGCTGTGGTAGAAAGTAGATAACCTGAACTGAAACAGTGTGCTTACCGCGGATTTTTCACTAACAGGCGGCGAATGAAGTCCTTCGCTAAATCAGTTGCATCTTTCATTTCATCCCTAGAGTAGTTGACCACGCAGTCCAAAATGTTTTGAAACGTCTCCATTTGTGTATCCCCAGCGAACGGAGAAATCCCGGTTAGCCTGGAATAAAGAAATATTCGATTGTCTGCTATCCGGGACAAATACACCAGCCGAACGACACAAAAATGTCGCATAAGCAGGTATCGGGACACAATCTAACTGAAGCATGTAACACAAATGGAGCGAGGCAGTGGTTAACCAAAGCAAAAACGGGCGCAGGGATTGCACCAAAATACCACTCACAAAATGTAAGTTATGACACCGATCGCCCACATATCCGTTGCCAGTGTGATTGCATCATAATTGATTATTTCAGGAGCTGAAATACAAATTTCACATGAAGTGACATGCATCGAGTCGAAATCCTATCAAAAACTAGCAAACACTTGGGATTGAAAACATTGAACCAGCCTGACTAAAATTAATTATGCTAAATGGTCGGAACTAAAGGATGGGGTCTGAATTCAACTCCGTCTATGGTAGACATCACGTTGCATGTTTTACAGTGTTGTCGAGAATTCCAATTTCGGGACGGCTGTAGAGACAGCACGTGATCTGACAAAGTCTGGAGTGACCATACTAACATATGTGACTACCACATTCAAGACAATTAACTGAAGTGTCAAAGCAGGAACAGCAAGATGACCACCTACACCAACAAACAAAATAAGCGATCGGTATCAAAAATATCAACAGCTTCCTGAATGGACCAAAGTAGATACATGAACCAGTAGGCAGACGGATACGAAGACACATCATTAGGTCAAGCGCTTGCTGGGAGCTTACGAGTGGCTAGCAAATGGATGAACTCCGTTTCAGTAAACCATGTGAAAGCGAACAAATTTGAAGAACAACGCGTCTGTTAGAATGACTGCTACAACTTCTGCGAATGCATAAAGAGTATGGTGTGCATAAATGTCGGTACGGTTCATATCAAGGAAACGGCTTTACGAACTCCTTGTTCTTCGTAGGTCCAAAACCTTAAACGGTAAATGGCGCCAGAAAATGGTGTTTTGGGTTGTGAGTGATATTCTCAATGTTGTAAACCACCTGGATTAGTGCGACCAATAGGTCACTCGCTAAGTTATGGCCCACATGATGTGCCTGTCGGAACCTCGATCACTGGCCGATTTGCTCAATGGTTTCCCTGGTGCCATAATAATAGGATGAAGTCGGACTACAGTGGTCCCTAGCGACTTCAAAGCAGATGAGTTTTATCGGAGATATTCAAGTTCCGTCTCAGTGATTTGAATAAATTGTTCTGCATGAAAATTACCAATGAGTAAACCCCAGCTAAGCCCATTTGTTCCTGACGAGTTTTCTGCTTTTGCTGCTAAATTACCGTGTATTTGACACTGCGACGCCTGCGCACGGGCATTACAAAGTAGTGCGTACATTCCGGGTGCTCATTTGTTATTGCTGGTGTTAAAGCAACCAATCTTGTAAAAGCAAGCTTCGTGAAAATCCAAGCTGCGTAAACCAACATCCATCGTATTTCGCCCAATGAACAGACGAACTTGGGTAGCGTTAGTGAAGGCTACTTTAAACTTAACTTAACGTGAAAGCAAGTGGGAACTGTTACTCCCTACTTGCAGTGCATTTGTGACCTGTTACTTCGAGCTCTAAGCCCAAACGATGGACGAGGATGTCAAGCACAACACAGTCGATTAATTTGCTGACACTCGTTACTCATGACGTAGATTTCCTCAAGGCAATCTGACCTAGAACACATTTGATGTGGTAAGTATAAATATCGAGTGCGGTAAATTGGGGACTTATACTGAACAACCTGACAAAGGAAATTAATTTTAATCGTTCTCTGAAACATGGATTTTTGCTGAAGATTCAGCAGTATGGCAGTAAAAGATACAACGAGGTCGCACTGACGTTGACCGTGATCAAATCATACAGAATGCCAAAGTATCCACGAAAGTAGAATAATGCCTTGCTATTGCTGCAAAATCACCATCAGAATGAATAACCTGGGGTAGCACCTAGTTTTTAGGTAAACGACGATATTTGGATTTTGCAACGTTTGCAGTCAAACCCTGGCTAGAAATTAATTTCAGCTGACAAATGCCTAGCTTATAGGTGGCCATGTAAGGTACCAGCCTGGATACATTTGGGCAGAAATAATGCTGCTGTCGTCGATCAAGTAAGAAATCCTTGTTTTGTGGTGGAAGTCAAGGTATGTATTGCTTGGTCTGAAATTAACCTCTGGAACACTACCTAACTGTGAATGACCAAGTGAAACCTAAGTACTTCAACCTACAGTGAATAGACCAAAGTAATAGGCATGCCCGGAAACCACAGAAAATCTAACGGGAAGGCAGAACAGTATATCAACAGGCTAAGATGCTAGCTATCGAACTGAACATGGATTTTAATGTTTTCGACCCGGGAGCTCACAATCTACATAGCACAGCCTAGTCCGGAAAAACACCAGACGCTTTTCACCCTATTAGGGCTCGTCACTGGTGCGCATTCCATCGATCCTCTACTGTGGATCGGATTCATGACAGATAGAGGCAGATACCAACTATCCAGCAGCTTAAGCCACTAAGCCCTGGGGAACGTTGGTTGGGATACATAATTTGCAAGCTAACTGGGATTGTTTTAGGCGACAAAGAGTAAAGCAGTTCCACCTGAATCATCTGAACACGTTCGACACTGCTGGAATCGAAAGTCAGCTTTAGTTTAGAAGTGTACCTTCTAGTCAATGCAGTCTGTATAATATCCAAGCTAGGGAAGCAATAGGGAGTATTGCTCAATTTATGACAAAATGTGCTCACTTGACGTCGCGAAATGTAAACGAAGAGTCAGAGTCGGAAAGGATGATGGGAACACGAAATCTCTGTTTGAAGTGGTTGTTAGCAGTTCATACTTCCATAAACCAAAAGTGCCAGTCGGATTAGTTACTGCTTAGCGCGTACTACGACTGAGTGTGCGGTATATGAACTTTTTTGGAAACTGTGTCGAGCTGCGTGGTCCGCTGTTCATCCTATGTGTTGGCTGTCTAGGCATCGAACTGATGTCCACCAGTGATCCTCAGCCGCCTCAACGTGAGCAAGCTGAGACTGCTCTTCTCCAGCAAGCACCAAAGGTCTCATAGTAAACATAGACGTACCAACGGGCATCAAGCCAATCAGGCCATCAGGGATGTAGCATGTTGCGATCTTTGCGGGACCGTATTTCACTCATCGCAGCTTGTCTAGGCTATCAGATAGTTCATCGTTCTCTATGTCCGTCTTTCTCAATGATAAGCCTATCAGGGTGCTTGTCTTGATTGCCTAATAGGAGGGTAAAAGCCAAGGAAGGAATAATTCTGAGAGATGGGGACCCAAAAGTATCCATCACATTATCTTCGGCCAATGAGAACATGAAAATCATTTGGTCAATTTATCCTCTGTCGAAGAGGGTCTGATAGCCACGGCACAACTCGGCCGCGTAGCGCTGAATGAGTCAGCCTATTAACAGTGGAACAATGACACATTGCATTGGTGCGATTAAAGTGTTAATGCTTGACAGGTCCCGTAGAATGGTCATGGTGACTTTTGTACTCTAAGTAAAACGTGTCACCAAAACTAAGTTCACACCGATGGACTCATCGTGGTATATGCATAAAAACTGTAAATCTGCTGTAAATCCATAAAAATTAAAGACAAATAGGATGTTAGCAAAACTCATGCCACCTTCTGTTGAACATATAAAAGAGGTGAAAAAGGCAGAACGAAATTTGGAAGTTGACAGGCAGTGCAGTCTTTAACAGGCACTCGCGTTCGACCATGGGCAATGAGTCATGTGGCATGGTACAACCAAATGAGTGCATGGTCAATTCAGGAATAATGCTCTACCACTGTGGGAACACAGTTGACATGTTCCGGCGGGTCATTCCACCCCTAGTAAACACGTACGGAAAAGAAATTCAGAAGGGATTCCAAACGATTGTGCTGTTTTGCCAGCTTGACATTGTGGGCTTTCACATTACCTTTGTGACTGAGCTCCTGCAAATGGCAGCACGTGTGGTTGAGGTCGCTCAACATCTGGTAGGTCAAAATATGGTCAACCTACAGTCTCCGGTACTGTCCGCTGAAGAAACTGAGCACTCACAGCCTTTGTTTACACGTCAAATTGTACAACTCTTTGACGTATTTGGTTTGCCCGACTTTGTGGTAACTCCAATGCATAGATTTCAGACCTGATTTGCCTGTGCCACGTGTGGACATACGTTTAATCCCAGAAGTTACCAAAATTTGATGGGTCGAACAGCTGGAATGTACGCCACAGGAAGCTTGCGGTTTGGATGCCCCTTCTTGATGCTTTTTCAACGTGATTCGAACAGCGGAGATGGGCCTCGGTCAAAAGCGGTGCACGAAACGAAGTAGGCAACTTTCGATCCATTAATTGCACTTCCATCATTTTTAGAGTATTTGAAAGAGTAATCAAAATTCGCCTTGACTATCTCATAAAACACAGACTCCTAAGTGACCAACACATGGATTTATGTATAAACACTCATGGAACCCATGCCAGTTAGACTTCCTATATTACATTATGTCGGCTGTAAATGGCAAAATGTCGGTACTGGTCATCTTCCTTGATATGCACGAAGCCATCTAGTATGTTTCGCATAAGCGACTTTTGCTGAATCTTAGGTCATTCGTAGTCCGTGACTCACCTGGCTTGGTTTACCACTTTCTTAGACGATCGCACTCAGACTGTTTTACTAAATAACTTGGATTCACAACCACTTGCAATAACGAGTGGAGTATTGCAAGGTAGCGTACTTTGTCCCACTCTGTTCCTCATCTATATCAATGAAGTTTTCGATAAAAGCAAATTTTTGTGACCCCTTTCTATTTGCGGATGACATGAAAATCGTCTACACAATTCCTCCAGAACGTCTGCATATAATCAGCAAAACTATTCGAACTTATCTGAATTCCCTTGAGCTCTAATCAAATGTATGTTTAATTCAATTCTCCGGGCCCACATCTCCCGTACTCTATCGTAGATGTAGCATCCTACCAGCCACTTTAAATAGGAACCCAATCTCTATCACTCAGTCCGCCGGTGATCTAGGCTTAAACTACAATGCACGACTAGACATCTCAACTCACGCTCAAGAACAGTTATCAAAGGCGAGCCACACTTTAAGCTTCATGAACAACTCAATAGTCTTGCCCAATACCAAGCTAGCTTTATATCTGATATGTGTACGTCCGCTTTTGGAGTACTGGCAGATCCAACATGTTCACAAGCGCAAGAGTGATCTCTTATCACTGGAACGTCTACAGCGGTCATTCCCTAAAAGCCTTA